TACAATTTACCATGTGTTATGTATAACTTAGGTTATGTAGAACCAAGCCTTAAAGAAAAAAAGTTAACTAAATATAGTATAGCTTGGGCCACTCATATATCTGGGTGGGTCACAATATTCTTAACTTGTAGTCACCTGAAAAAAGGATGATCTGCACAACTGATTGCTATACCTTTTACTTCAAAGGGTGCTGCATTTTCACCCAGCTGGATCACAGCAGCAGTCCCATGAAAATGACTGGAGAAGCACTGCCCTTTGAAATAAAAGCCACAGCAAACAGAGGGGGTGGCTCTATTTCCACACGGCTGTTTACTATGACCTTATGTGCTCCTCAGCTGGTTTTACAAGTGCTTATTGAGGACTATGTGATCCAACCCCCACCCCAAACTATCCAGGTTTTACTGTACAGATAAAGAGTTAAAAATTTAAGCATCTTATACAAATTTTCAAGGCTAAAGGGTCGATAGTTAATATTTATTATAGTGACTAGAACTTGGCAGTAGTAGAAAGATTTGCTTACATATTTGCCAATTTTTATAGTGATTGGATTCAGCATTTACTCTGTGGTATCTTATTTTCCTTTAATGTTTCTTGTGAATAGATTTCTTTGGCATAAATGTTAGAAAATAGTTGTTTTTTCAAGCAAAGCCCTTGTTTCACAAGAAAATAAAAATATTTTCTGGCAAAATATTTGTGCCAGAAATGTTCACATTCTATTTAAATAGCTTCAGTCATCTAGTTACCTGAAATGTATGATACTTTCTGCTATGTAACCAAGAGAAAACTGTAGGTAATAAATTCTCAAAGACAGATGAAGCAAACATAAAAAATCAGGGTGGCTGCTGTCATTTTGAATTTTTTTTCTCTTATTTTTCATTGATTTCTGATGTCTTTTCACAGTCTCTATTTAAGAAATTGAAAATCCAAAAGACAGCATTACAGGTACCTAAGTTGGGACCTGGATATGAAAGAGCACAGTGAACCAATGATGCGGTGGTAGACAATGATTCAACTCCTTTGAAGTCAGCAACAATGCTTTTATACCCCAAGTGAAGATCTAGTCCTATGCTTCACTGATTTGTTGGTACAATTGTCATTGTGTCATTCTAGTTAGTGGTGCTCAACTCTTTGGCCCCATGAGCCAGATGCACTCATCTGTGGGCTGGATCAGCCCCGCTCAACAGGACTGCACAGCCCCCGCATCCAGTCTTGAATTCTGGGATCGGGCCCCAAGGCTCTGTGCCACTTCTGCCTGGCTCTACATAGCAGGATCAGGTCCTGTGCTGGATCCCTGGGGAGACCCATACTCTGGATGACACGGTGCTCGGGTTTGGATCTGGCCCATGGACTAGAGGGTTAAGCACCCCAATTCTAGGTAACTTACCGTGCTACCCTACATTGTTCCCAAGCATATCTGATTTTATTTCTGCACTAGTAAAAAAGTTTAAAACTGCATCATTTTGTACTAGTCCAAATACATGGTGACCAGAAAGCATTTCTGTGTGATGGTTGTTCTCATCCCTGTGTGAAATGAGCTTTGGTTCATACAGAACACCCATATCATAGAAACCATGAAAACTGCTCCTGCTTAACACATGTTGAATTGATACTGCAGCTTGGCAACCGGCAAGTAACCAACTACAAAATGTGCAGCTTGTGTTGGTGAAATACCGATCATGTATATTTTCACCTCCCTCCCTAGTATGCAGTGTACACAGTTGTGCTCTCTCTTGCTGGATATAAAGGTACCTATTTTATTGCATATAAGAGAAACAAGCAGGTTTATTGGGACATGAACAACTCAGTTAAAACAGTAGATATAGCCCCAGAATGACTGCTTTCAAGATGCTGTACCTCAAGAAACAGTGGTGTTGATAATTTTATACATGACTAGAAAGGGGTAATCAAAGACTGACATATTAAGATAATTCTTTTAATCTGCTTGCTCAAGTTTGAGCTAAATGTAGAACTTTTTCAAAGCCATTTATAAGAGGCGCATACATTAACCTTATTATTCTTTAATAGCATTTGCCTGTATACTCCTATACAACACTTTGAAAATTTACCCTATAAGGACATTTTTACTCATGCTCTGGGAGGTGTGGGGGAGGGGGGGCATTTTAATTAGCGAGCCAAATTAATTAAAAGCACCTGGTCATCACATGTATCAGCATCTCCGCGCTGAAAAAATGGCGGTGGGGCGCTTTGAACTAAAGCTCATTTGAGCTTTAGTTCAAAGTACCTCGCTGGTTCAACACTCTTGTTTTAAAAACCTGCAGTAAAAGAACCTAACATTATTTGAGGGGAAAAAAACAACATTCATTCATGTATAAACTCAAAAGTGAGTGGACATATAGATAAATTATAGTACAAAATACTATGCCAGATAAATGTTAACTGAATCAGAAGAGTCCCAAGACTGTCAAAGCATCTTATGGAAGCCAGGAACACATTTCTTAGTTAATGATGCCATGGGTGCTTCTCTTTCCTGGGCTCATCAGAAACTGGTTGTTTATAAAGAAGGCATTTCAGCTTTCACAGTTTAAAGACAAAGGTTAGTGCTGGCATAACTGGTACAATTTCAGTGTATCCTAGCAAGGTTGGAGTTAGCGCCAATATGTGTATGTGTGCGTTTGTTTTTTTTTGTACTTGAACAAATTAGTTCAGCAACTGTATATCGATAACTTTTTAACCTATTCTTAGTCTTAATATTATGAGCAGCGGTAAAGAGTGGAGAGGGGAAGGGGGTGGGGGGGCGGGAAAGAAAGTCAGGCTCCTTAAACTTTGTCTGTAGGTTTTTTTAGTGAAATATTTAGAGGCCTCCTTCCATTCAGGAACTGAAAGATCTTATATTTTTCATTCCATGTCTGAAGGCGGTTTAAAAGTTGAGATATGGTTTAATTTATGTTTAAGCACAACTTCTTTTTTGGAATATATATTACGTCTTATCCACTGAAAGCACTATGTCATGACAGACAAGCAGGAAAGACTGAAATATGTAAGATAAGGCTTCCAGTTTATATGCTGTTAGAAGAAATGATAGCATCAGTTTTAAAAATAAAAATACTAAAAGAGAACTACAAAGGTTTACACGTGTAAACTTTGGTAAAAGATTTGTTTCTATAGAAGAAGAAAATTTTGCCTCAGTTATTGGGGGAACAGGGACTTTCCCATAGCTTGTTGGTCCCCCTTGGCCAGTTTGTAGATGGCCGCCAGGTCCACTCTCAGCCTTCTCTTATGAAGGCTGAACAGGTTCAGGTCCTGTAGCCTCTGCTCGTAGGGCCTGCCCTGCCGTCCCTGGATCATGCGAGTGGTCCTCCTCTGGACCCTCTCGATGCTGTCCACATCCCTCCTGAAGTGCAGCGCCCAGAACTGGATGCAGTACTCCAACTGTGGCCTGACCAGTGTCGCATAAAGGGGGAGGATCACCTCCTAGGACCTATTCGTCATGCATCTGTGGATGCATGACAAGGTACGATTGGCCTTCCTGACCGCGTCCCCACATTGGCGGCCCATGTTCATTTTGGAATCGATGACAAAATCAGTTGAGCTATCATTTTACTCTTAATTTACCTAAATTGGGCATATTCCTAAATTGTGCATACAAAAAAAAGTCCATAGAGAAACTAAATATAACTAAATATTGTCTACATTTCACACAATCTCTCTGTTTCTTTCCTTTTCCAAGAAAATTATATTCCTAAATCCTGCTTTTCAGATGTAAAAAGTTGTCAACTGAACCATAATATTGGTAACGTATAGCACAAGAGAATTTGAATCTGTATATTGAGTGTTATTAATGCGAGGAAGACTGTTGTGTTACTTCAAAAAATGGGCTGTTTAAAGAAAAAATGTTTGCAGGTCCCAAATTCTTTAGTATGAAATATTAGAATTTAGTTGAGGTGGGAACTCAAATTCATTTTCATCAGGGAAATGTCTGTTGGCTAACAACATTGGTTAAAATTTTTTTTTTCCCCATATTCCCTGCCATATCTGTCACAAGGGCACCATAATCATGATCTAGATGCTTGTAGATTACTTAAATTTATGGCCTGTGGTCCAAACCTGGCCTGCAGAGCGGTGTTGCCTGGCCAATAGGGCTCTGAAAAGGGCTGGGAATTCAGAGGTGGGATGAGCAGAAGTGGGCCCTGCTGCCGAAATCTGTGGTAAGGAACATTTTTTGGGGCGTGTTGTCAGTGGGAGGCAAGTAATAGATGCATTAACCCCCTCATGGCTGCCACAGCTGCTTGTCCTGCCACTGCACCCAGATGCAGCTTGCCAGGAGCCCTATGGTCCACAAACAACCTAGGGAGGCTAGGTGAGTTTGACACCTCTGCTGTAAGCTGGTTTTTAGTCCTGTGTGCAACCTCATTCATTTCAATAGGGGTCTGTGCAGACAGAGCCTACCTTAGGGTTGGTTTTGGGCATAAGTTTTAGGAGCAGGGTTACTGGAACTACATCAGTGATTTTAACCAGCGTGCCTTGCGATCCTTTCAAGGGTGTTGAGGGGTGCTCCACAATGTTAATGCTGTTAGGTTTGCAAACATGATTCACAAGATAAACCTAGAGATTTCAAATAGAAATCCATAGTTCTGGTCCTTTTCCATTCTTTGCAACAGAAATACTGTTCTGTTATTTTCCTGTAGTCAAAAAAGTGTCAATTTACATCTTCACTGACTGGCTTTCTTGCATGCATACTAGCCTCTGGCTTCTTTTACTATTCATTCCATTCAGGACGAGCACAGACCTACTGCAGATGTTTCCTCAGCCTGATGAAGGGTATTTGTACCCAAAAGCTTGCAAATAACAATGTTTTCAATTATTTTAGTTGGTCTAATAAAAAATATCAGTTTGATCCAAAGAACCTTGTCAGCCCATGTCCTTAGACCAATATGACTACAACCTATACCGCTAAAAGCTGGCATTTTCTGAGGGGTGCCTCAAGTCTAAATTGGTTTAGAACCACTGTGCTACATTTTAAAGCTTGTTTTCTTTTACAGATCTGAAAGTATCAGCAAACTTTTCTCTTTCTTCTTGGACCTGGCTGCTAACCTTAAGTGATCACTGATTTTCAAGAGAGTTGACCTGAGAGGGAAGGTAGGAAATGAATAGTTTTACATTACATAATGGTAGTGTGATTGGATTCAATTAAATATATTCTAGTTATCATCCCTAATCTAATTCTTGGCTGTGATTTAATGTTACTCTTCCAAAAGATTCTTAACATTACTTTAGGCTAACAAATCTAGATATCATAGATTAGTTTATCTATTATCAGCTTGTGTAACTTACCTGGATAAAATAAAAAAAACCCTCATATAGTAAGTTAATCAGCCTGTCATTAATTACATAGGTTCTATTTGGAACAGAATTGGGCACAACATGTGAATGAAATGTGAACCTTCCCATGATCTCAGCTTTCATCTACTTCCCAGTGAAACATTTTACTTAGCTGAGAAGTGAATTATGTTACTTGACATTAAATGTAGGTCACGTTGGTGGCTATCTTATGGCTGGAAATTCTACAGCTCACTTCTTACTGATAGTTGACATATGAGATAATAATGTGTGGTCAAAAATATATATTGATCAGGTCTTGAAAGTGTTGCAATCATATGAATTCAGAACCTCATGATAGGACAATTTCCCAGGTGATAACTAGCTGTCTTGGCAACATATTGTAGTTACATACCTTAGCAGCAAGTGAAAAAATTATGATGGTGAGGAATACTATTGGATTTCAACCCATAAAGTTTTCTTTTAAAGAACAAATCCTTTAATATTTGTGAATTTTCTACTAGATTTAACCAGGTGATAAGGGAAGGAGGGACTTATTATGCACTACAAGTTATAACACCATGGTTGCTTGTATACTGATATCTACCATTGTAAAGGTGACAATGGTAGATATCATTGATATCTGATGGCCTTCAAGGCAAAAGAACTTTTGAGGTTTCATTGGAAGAGTAAAAAGCGCTTGTGGAATAAGTGTCCTGGGTTAGTTCATACAGTACCTCTTGCTGTGCCAGCTCTACATGGGATATTCTGTGATGCCATGAGAAGAGTTGCCATTTGGTCTATGATTATGTAGATCCAGTGGCTACAAATGCCAGTTCTCATGCAGAGGTGTGAAGGCCTTGTAGCCTCTATACCTGTAGAGGTCAGAATAAAGAGGCTGTAGATTCAATGTATGCTATCTATAGAGGATAAATATGTTTCCCCTCCCCCCACAGTTCTTGGGGATGTGAGGGGCAAATGTTATTTATGATTAATTAATAGGGTGAGTACTTTTGTGATACAGTGATACCAGGTAAAATCCATATATTTCTGGAGTGTTCAATATTAGTCTCTTTCTTTAAAATACATATTCTGTGGGTATTTTGGTGACAATCAGTCTTCATGTCTGTCATTTATTTATACTTATCTCATTTATTTATACTTACATTTATATTAAGAAAAGTTCTTTCAGTAGAAATGACTGCTAGTAAGAGTTCTCCAGTTTACAAATGTCTCATGTAAATACATTATTGATGTTGTATTGAATTCTTCAAGTGTCTTTGCATAAAGCTTGGATTTATGTCTTTAATGTACTTATTACAGGAAAGTCCTTTGAGATACTGGGATTGATATTTCAGCTATGACATTTATTGTAAACCAAGATGACAGTTAACACTACTTGAATAAATTAAAGAACTGAAAGTATGTTTTCAGTATGCTTTTAACAGATCTGATTAAGTACATAGCTCTGATGTGGTGAAGTAGTCCTAATAATACATTAATGTGAGCCTGTGAACACTAATTCAATAAGAATCAATAAATGCTATGTACACTCCCCTGTTTTACATTGATGCAATATTACCTTGAGGTGAGTGAGAATTTTATCTGACTTTAGATTACAGGATGGTGCCTTGTTGATCAATGTATTCAGTGTAATAGGTTTTTTTTTCTTGCTTTGTGGAGGTGAAAAAGCAATGCCATGAGGCATTTTGTTATGACCTAATTTAAACAATTATCATTTTATGATGAGTTTTACCACTTTCCAGGGGTAAATTTGGGGAGGATTGCAGTGTTGTGCACACCCTGCTGCCACTTCTCCCAGCTGAACCTGTGCTCCTGTCCTGCTCCAGTCATAGGTAGGGACCTACTGAAATTGAGGAGGCAGGCGGCTGATTTTGCAGGCTGATCAAAGAGCTGCCCGACACTTTTGCAGGCTCATTGTGGTGGGTCACCCCATGCCTCTGACTAAGGGGCCCTGGTGGCCCCACCCCTTGCTGCTGATTTGTTGAGAGGGCTGCCCATCATGGACCCCACCCCTCACCACTGATTGGCAGACAGGCAGGGCCGTGCCACCACCCAATCAAGGCCTGCCTTCTTGGCTGCCCCTTTTTGGGCGGAGCCATGAGGATCATTGGCTCCCACTGGGTAGCCAGGATTTTATCATTAGTAAGGGTGTGTTTTTTGTGTGGATTTCATGGACAATGCCCGATTTCTCAATTTCCATGAAATCACTAACTGAGTAGGTCCCTAGTCATAGGCTGTGGCTATGCAGAGTGCCAAGCTTGGGAGCAGACAGTAGCACTGGCATGCAGATTCATCCTTCCAGTGCCTGGTTCCTGTCTGCCTCTCCCCTGAAAGTGTCCCCGGCTGACAAAAGTAGGTGCTGGGAGGAGGAACCTGCACACTCCTGCTACTATTTCTGGCCCTGTGCTACAGGAAATGACTGTGTGGGAAAGTGGGCTTGGCTGATGATAGTGGTGGTTGTCTCAGCTCCCCGGCATCCCTCATCAATCTTAAGGCTCCAATTATGCCTCTATCCCCTCCATGGTTTGAGGGCCAGTGTGCGTCACCTTTCTTTAGTAAAGTCTGGATCTGCCCATGCCACTCTCTTATTCCCATATAATTTATGTCTTTTGGGAAAGAACTAACTTAAGAACCATAAAAAAGAGGGAGAGAGAGCATGCGTCTGCAACCTCTCACCTTGTTGGTAACAGAAATATGTATCGAAAATCTAAGAAAGAATAATTGCTGTTTACAGAACTGGTTATGTCATCCCACAAAAGAAAGGCTAATTGAACAACCTAGTACATGGATGGACATAGGGACAGTGGTGTGAAAGAGCAATGCATTTTAAGGCCAGAAAAAACTGTTGTGATCACCTTGTCAAACCTTCCTTTTAATCATTTTGCCAGCTTTATTTGTAAACTCTCTTTTGTTACACTGTACAAAAGTTGCCAGATTGGTAAATTCATGACTGCACTTGATTTTCTGTAAACAATTAAAGAAAAAGCAAACAGATGCACAGAAACAAAAGATGTACGTTGCTATTTTAATTGCTGATCAGAATAAAATGGATATATAGAGTATTTCAAAGGAAGGACAAAGTTAGCAGGCAGTGGATGAGAGGAATGAAAATGGGCAATTTGGTTTAGCGCAACATTCTGATAATACCAACACTTAGCAATTGCCTGGCACTGAAGAGTCCACATCCATGGTATATGGTGGTCTCAACATATTTTGTAAACTTGCTGAGGCCTGCCTTTTGATTATCATTTTGGTGGTGGGGGGTGGTATTTTTCATCCGTCAATACCTTCCACACCCTTTTTTTTTTAATTTTTAGTTTTTATTTAAAACATGGAGTGAATGAAAAAAGTACCTCTTACTTGGCAAATCTGTTCTTCAGAGTCATGTCTACTAACTGATCAATATTTTCTAGATGTTGTTTCCCTGTTGTTAGCCATTAGCTCTTCAGAGCTATGGGGGAGAGAGAGATGAATTCTAAACCGGCCACAAAGTATATCATAATTAGAATGGCAGTTTTTCTGCCCTACAGG